ATGCTGCGACGCAAAGCATCGTCCATGCCACGCTTGGCAGGCGGCTTGGATTCAATTGCCGTCGATACGGATCCGTCATCCGTATCAGGAGAGTACGAGACACCGAGCTCGTACTCTGTGAAGACACGAGTGTCTTCATGACCAGCGCCTGCGTCACCAAGTGACACAGGCTGGGTCTCTTCAGCAACCGATGGGACATCAGTTGCTGTTGTTTCTGCTTCGGCGTCCGCACAGAGACGTGCAGACGCGCTCTCGGCGGCCTTGCTCGCGCATCGCATGGGCTTGTTTACCATGCGATGAGATGTTGGAAAGTGGACGCGGACCAACAAGTGCAAACCCCGTCCCAAATGATTTGGGACGAGTATCCATTTAGTCAATCAGTCACTAAAGTGACTGATGGTTAAGGGGGGTGATGTAACGGGGTGAATCGTTACATAACAATTTATAAGAAATTGTTAATAGAATATAACTATAAGAGTTATATTCTCAGAATATTGTCATAAGGACAATATTCTGTAGCACTTCCAAGTAGTTCCTAATTGGTTGATATAGGCCATTATATCAACCAACGAAGACGCGCCACGACAGACGCACGCAATGAGTGGTGAACAGATAACTGATTTACACATTTGTATTTAGACATAGTTAGATGAAGATAAATAGTGATTTATTGCAGACATTAACTATTATAAATACAGTTCTACTTTTTACTCTAACCAAGTACTCGCTTCTTCTTACCGTCTTCCTCTGCACGTACGAGTGTACGTGAAGTTACGAGGCACCGCCTTATTCTGTTATCAGAATAAGTAGCTTGTACTGTCACCAGTACAAGCTTCAGGGTGCCCCGTTACAACCGTCGTGGGAGTTACCGTCGTGGGAGTTACGGTGGTGATGGGCACCGCGGTGCGAGTTACGGTAGTGCGAGTTACGGCGGTGCGAGTTACGGTCGTGCGAGTTACGGTGGTGCGGACGGTTATGTTTAGAAGCGTCGGCGTGTTCGTTCGTTGGGATGACGCATCCCCAGGCCCCCGTGTGAATGACCTCACAGACGGTGTCGACTGACAGCTCGCAGTAGTCGCCGACACTGTCGCGAGTGACATTCGAGTCACAGTCGGCGATCGCCACATCACCTTTGACAGGGCACGAGGATCCGGCAGGCGACGAGCCTTCGCCGCTGCAGACGGGCCCGTCGATGCAGTAGGTGGCGTCACGCTCGACGCTGATTGGCCAGCAGCCGAGGTCCTCGTCGTACTTGGGGGTACCAGCTGATGCTGGCAAGGCCGCAGAAAGACTAAAGATCGAGAAAACCAAGACTTTCATGGTTGCTGTTGGACGGTTGAATGCTGCTGAGCGAAAACTCGAGCTGTCGAGTGGTGGAGGTGGAGGTGGTTGTGACTCGCCTTTGCTGCAAGTTGCAGAATGAAATGAGCGGAGCGTCTGTTTCTTCTTCTCCTTGTAGCTAGCAGCCCGTGGTGCTGTCGAGATGCAGGAGACAACTCTAGAACAAAGGTAGATGGTGTGGATCTGGACCAAAGACCAACCAGTGCAGCGAGGTGTTGCCCCCGATGGTTCTACCGCATGCGTTTGAGTCAAAGTTGCCTCTTTTGTTCTGGCCAAGTTGCCGTGAAACATTGTTTGGTGGTTGTGATGCACCATATTGTCGTGAGAAGGTCGAGACGAGTGTTTCAGTATGTTGCGGCAGTAGCTTCAGGATACGAATGAATCTCGGGTTTCGTGACGAAAAATCAAATCGAAAGATCAATTCCACCATATGGCGACGAACGGCCTTGTAGGTGGCAGTCAGAAATGCAAAGGTTGCTACTGCAACCGATCTCGACGTCGCCAGAGCGCGGTGCAACTGGGGAACTGTGAATCACCAAAGTTGCGTTTCTTTCCACTCTCTCTCTCGCTGGCGCGTGCCTGCGTGGTTGTTGTTTCATTGGTATCGACGTGTTGGCGGCACTACAAATGAGACGCCAGAACTGAATATGTACTCATTGACGCGGAACCTCATGGAGGCAAACGTTAACGCAGAACCTCATCAAGGCACGCCACCATTAGGATGGTAGAGTCTCCAATGGGTCAAACGATTCACCACCGTAGAAGATGGAAATGTGATATACAACACCCGAAAAGCCTGAATCAATTCTGATCTACGCCGTCTGTCGCCCGCACATGGCAACTACTGTTCATACGAGGCATGCATTTGTTGCCGGGCACCAGTCGCTAAGATTCGTATCCGTCAGAATTTCGATGCCCGGATGTTTCTTCCAAAACGTTTTTTAGGCGTGAAGCAGAATCATCCCTTGATTGGGTAGCTCGCACGGCGTGGCAACCAAAGGTAGTCGTGCTACTATGTAACAAGCCAGTGCATTTACTTTTGCTGTTTTCCCTTGAAGTACTTCTGCTTTAGCTGTAGGTGCTTCGGCCAGTCGGATTGCAGTGTTGATAACCCAATTTGGCGGGCTGCCAAATGCTTGTCCTCTTTTAAACTTTCGTGATTACTTGGAGAAGATCATAGGAGAGGGTTATTTCATTCAACCGGTCATGTTCCTCGTAGTCTTATGTGCGATCTGATGACATAGCATGTCGAGGGTTATGCAAATCGCATCGACGCTGACACCATTTTGCAAGCACAGCTCTACATCCGGTTAGGTGTCCTCCATTCAGTCTTAACCTTTGGTAGGGTATCGAACGGGACGTCTACCGATCGCTGGTAAGTGTTAGGTTCTGAGCAATCTGAGTAATTTCTAACCCTCTTTCGAGTTACTTCAGAACAGAAACAGAGAAATGTAGATGCCCATCGAGTTACACCAGCCACAGAGTGCCAAGTGCTTTTAGTATCACAAAGTAGAGTGACTGGGTAAGTTGCATCCGACCATCAGGTCATGCGATAGTAGCAGACGCTAGTCCATCCCATGCGACCGAGCAGAAAGCATTAAACTATGCTGCGCTCCTTTGATCGACCGTGCGCATGACCTTAGCACGTGTTCGATAACCAACGTCCATCTTGATGGAGAGTGCTACCCGAGGGCTCGTGAAGAACGAATGAATGACAGCGCCAACCCCTTGGTCCAGTTTTGCTAATGGAAAAAGCGTGCCAGCCTTGAGTTCTCGTTATCGTATGATAGCGTTTGGGGGGCAGCTATCACGTTTGCATGAAGGGCGGAAAGATCCGCCACTTCCTTCCGATATCAGTCGATGCGGCCATCAACGAGTAATTGGTCAACTGATCGCAGGGACAACAGCTCTCTTGCCCTGTCATCTATCAACAGCTATACGAATGTATCTGTCCTCATCAACCTACTGCATCCCAACAGTTTCGTAGTCGGAAGCTTGTCGAAAAAAGGAGTTGGAAGACAATTTGATGGAAAGGTGTCTGTTCATGCCTTGGTTAAAGGTGCCGTTGTTGTAGCTACCACTTCTCGTAGCTACCGCTGTTGTGGTGGTCGCCGTTGTACTTGCCCTCTCCATAGCCACCGCTCTTGTGGTAATCGCTGGTGTGGTGGCCACCTTCGTATCTGTCGCTGTTGTTGTTCTTGTCGTCGTCGTCGTTCTTGTTGTCGTTGTTGTTCTTGTCATCGTTGGTGTTGTCGTTCTTGCCGTCGTGGTTGGCGGACTCGTTCTCTCCGTAGCTGTTGCTGTTGTGGTTGTTGCTGTTGTGGTGGTGGTCGCTCATGTGGTCCCCGCTGTTGTACTTACCCTCTCCATAGCTGTCGCTGTTTTGTCGATCGCTCATGTGGTGGCCGTTGCTGTGGTCGTCATCACCTTCGTAGCTGCCGCGGATGTAGCTACCACTGTCGCTGTTATAGTAGGACGAATCTTCGTTCTGACTACCGTAGTGGGAGTCATCGCCATGGTGGGAGTGTCGGTCTTTGGAGTTACCGTAGTGGGAGTTACGGTGGTGATGGGCACCGCGGTGCGAGTTACGGTGGTGCGAGTTACGGTGATGCGAGTTACGGTGGTGCGGACGGTTGTGTTCATAAGAGTCGGCGTCACTCTTCTATTTGCGACGCAGTGATCTTATCGGATCACAGAGGAGTTTAAACCCGTTTTTATTGGCTCACAGCGAGCGGCGTCCAGGCGCTATGCAGCCCCTAGATCTCCCCCCGGGAGGTGGGGATGACCCGGGAGGGGCATCTACCCTACCCGAGGAGCCTACTGTGCCTCGTCCAGGTACAGTCTGCGCGTCGACGGATAGCGACGAGAGTCGAATGACTCAGCCGGTGGAAGCGGCAAGGCCGGGCGCCAGCATATCGGCCTTACCACCGCTTCCAGGGGCCATCCAGGAGGATTCACAGGGACCGACGGCTGATGACGACCACCCCATGCTCGGTGACGAAGGCATGCCGATTGGATGCCTTAGCACAGCCGGTCCACTTGGGTCGGCTTTTCCCCTTCAACGCGAGCCTAGCGCTTTGGCGGTTAAAGGAGTAAACTCTCAGGACGGCAGTGACAGGTCCAACGGGACAGCGCCACCGGCAGCTCCTGAGCCCGACCCCACGGACGGCCAGTCGCCCTCCCCTCCTCCGCGACAGGCCCCCATCCGGCGGGTTTCGTCAGAGGCCATGTTTTCTGCTTTGGTTGGGGACATGAAGGAATCACCGAATGTCGGAAACGTCGAGGCCTGGATCCAAACGATCAGGCAGCTTTTCGCGGAGGCCTACGCGACAGTCCCAGTTCTTTCCGAGGAGCTGCCGGCGGATAGAAAACGTTTCCCGACTTTGAGTGAAGCCGAAGCGTCCAGTCTACTAGGCTTTTTTGAACAAGCGTTTGTCAACACCACGGGACGCTTTGAGGAATGAAAAAAACTAGCGTCGACCATTACGCGGGAGCTTTTTACCACTAAGTGGGCTTTCCGAGAGATAGTACGCAGACTTGCGAGCCAGCATAAGTGGGCGCACGCGCCAGTGCTCCATCAATGGGCGGCTGTTGTTCGCACAGGCCTGACTCCATCAGCGGCTCCACCGCCGCCACGAAAAGCGAAATATGAGGAATTCATGTTTAATCCCGCTAAGTTTTCCGGGGTGGAGATCGCGCGGCTCCGAGCTGTATGCGCGTCGCCGCAGGCCCCGGCAGGACAACACCAAGTCCGTAAGGGAACAGACGATGAATGGAAGATTGTCTTGGGTTTAATCGAGGGCACCATAGCATGCCGCAACATGCCGGCTTTTCTTCCGCACATCCTCCGAAGTGAGGAATGCCTCAGACTGGTTTCTACGATTCAGGCTCAGGTAGAAGGCGAATTGATTATGCAATTGGGGCGCTCTGGGAGTGTCCGGGTTACCCGACAGAGTACGAAAGCTATCACCGAGCGGATCCTGGAATCGGCGGAGCTGGCGCGAGTAAACTTACCTGCGCTACACAACATGCTAGGCCAGACGAAGAAGATCAGCTACGATCAAGTAACGAAGTCGATTCACTTCTATTTCTTTACCAGAGAAACTGCCGAGAAGCACAAGGAGGTGCGGGTGCCTTTTTCGGGAGGAGTATACCGGCTCCTGAATGCCCACCGAGCAGCGGCCGGCCCGATATGGGACCGACAGCGGGGGCTTAATGGACAACCACAAGGCCGGCGAGTGGAATACACGATTCTGCTTCTCAATGTAACTCGGTTTGTCGACATAGGCCGGATTGCAGCTTTTTTGAAGGAGAAGATTTTGACGGAATTCGTGATGGAGGACCTGGACACGCATACCCCCGATTCCAGGACATCGACAATATGGAGGGTAACCTTCAAACTAGCGGGCTGTCCGACTTTCCTCGACGGCATTGTTCGGTTGTTATGGTTCGGGACGACCATAATTGTTAAGCCTCCGAATGTCGGCAGGCGGCTGCAGTGTCTTCAATGTGGCAACCTCGGCCACACGCTGGCGCGGTGTACATTCACCGACCTTCAGTTGCGCGGGCCAGGGGGCGTAGTCGTAATGGAGGAGGACGTCAAGGGTCTCGAGGATCTTGCGAGACCATTTCTCAGCTTCGAGGAAATTAAAGAGATGGCAGGGCGGCGCCTAGCGCTCCAAGAAGCAGCGGAGGAGTTAGCTCAAGCAGCGGTTTCGCCACCCGCGCGAGGACAAATATCAGGGACGCAAGCCGCTATTTCACTTCCTGAGGTTACGAGCCCCAGTAGTGCTCCACAAGCGGAACAAGGGGAGAAGTTTGCTCACATGCAACCAGATCCGCGTCCAGCAGCACCACAGCCGTGGATCACCAAGCAGTCCAAAAAGGGACGATCGAGAGGTTCGTCTAAAGCGGCCACGGGCCAGGTAAAAGCGGTGGCCTCACAGGTGCGGACAGGAGGGCAGGAGCTTATAGGCGAGGATGGCGAGGACTGGGCCGAGGAGACAAAAACTAGTTCGGATGCGTCGGAAGAGATCAGGGTGCTTCATTCACGGTCAGCCGGGGCACTTAATCCAACGGTGGGCTTATCTGACGGGGCCGGTACGCACTCGCTTCTTACGTCTTCCGAGAAGGCCCGGAAGCAACGGGGGGCTGGACGTGGGTCGGCTCCGAGTACGACGGGTCCAGTGCTGATGACTCTCAAGCGTAACGAGAGAGGATCCTTTCGACAATTGGTCGCGGATTTGGGTCGGCTGCCCAAGGCTCTGACGACAGTACGAGCACGAGCAACAGACGTCCCGACGGACGTAGCGGAGTTAACGTCCCAACTTGTGATTTACCCGGTAATCACACCGGCTACTACTAATTGTCTTGCCATGGCTATTGCCCAAGCGGCAACGGACGCGTCCCTGGACGGTCCAGACAGGCATCTGGAGCTACTGACAGCTTGCCTTAAACGGGGGATTAAATTGTCGGGCTTGCTGGATCTGGAGGATCAGTATGCTCACGATCATAGAGTTCATGCTGATGCTGGCTAGCGTCAGCAGAGGTTGGCCGACGATGACTCACAAGGAATCAGCTTCGCAGATACGATGGTACCTCGAAGACTATGCTACCAGCCCGTCCGCCCGAACGGCTCTGGTTGGTTCGGACACATGGGGGGGCTGCGATATGGTCGGCATGGCGGCCAATTTTCTACAACAGTCAATCTATGTTATCGAGTTTCTTACTGGCCAGACCCACCCGTGGCGCTGCCGTAAATTTGTACCCACCACGATCACCCGCCATCGGCGGAGGGTCGTGACGGCGGCGGAATGTCCGCTGGGAATTATGGACCTCATGGATGCAGTATTAGCGGCAAAAATTGAGGCACCCGGGCTCCCTCCTCTCGTATTGCGCTACCAGAATTGCCACTATTCCGCTATTAATCACTCTGGGAGTTCCAGTCTGTTGCCCGACTTGGTGGCGGAGACAACATCACTTGAGCAGACGGCTGCTGGTACGTCGGTGTGTCCGGTTACTCAGGAGGCGACGGCGCCTGTACCCGAGACGTCTGGACAGCTAGCAGGGATACTAGTCTTACGGGATGACTTTATCGACGCGTCAACGGAGGTCCTGAGTAGACATAGACCGGACGATTGCAACGCGCGAGCACTGGTGGAGCGGCAGGTTAGCTGTTCTACGATTCCCTCAGCGCCTCCAGCAAGGATGCGACCCCCTCCCCCACTGATCGTAAAAGGGCGCTTGTGGCGTCTCAAATTTTGCAGATATCAGATGGGACGGACAGGTCGCAGCGCGCCAAGGAAGCGGTAGCTAAGAGAGAAGGCGAGACCCAGGGCCTCAGCTCCCCCCAGGCGATGAGGCAAACGAGCGCGTCGACCGAACGGACTGGGCAGCAGCGTGGGAGCTTATGGAATCGATGTGGCCAAACCCGAAACAGATTCCATTTCCTCTCGCCAGCAGCTCGACGTTAGAATGGCAGAGGGTCGCTGGTCATGTGCCCGATCACTTACTCTGGCTAGTCAAGAGGTTCACGTTTCCTGGTGAGCTTCTTCAGATCCTGGACCCGTCTGTTTTAGTCCATTGGATGGCGGAGAACCGGCACGGCTGTTTGGTAGATGGACTGCGGCTGTAACGGGGTGAATCGTTAGATAACAATTTATAAGAAATTGTTAATAGAATATAACTATAAGAGTTATATTCTCAGAATATTGTCATAAGGACAAATATTCTGTAGCACTTCCAAGTAGTTCCTAATTGGTTGATATAGGCCATTATATCAACCAACGAAGACGCGCCACGACAGACGCACGCAATGAGTGGTGAGCAGATATTTGATTTACACATTTGTATTTAGACATAGTTAGGTGAAGATAAATAGTGATTTATTGCAGACATTAACTATACTAAATACAGTTCTACTTTTTACTCTAACAAAGTACTCGCTTCTTCTTACCGTCTTCCTCTGCACGTACCAGTGTACGTGAAGTTACGAGGCACCGCCTTATTCTGTCATCAGAATAAGTAGCTTGTACTGTCACCAGTACAAGCTTCAGGGTGCCCCGTTACACCTGGTAGCACTTCGTAGTCCGTTCAAGGACCGCGTTCACATCCAATATGAATATGTTGGATGATGAAGATGACCAAAGCTTTCACGCTACGCGTGACGGCTACTCCCATTTGAGCGATGTCGAATGGGATGCGGTTGAACGGATGGGTTCGACCATGGGCATCCATGCTGTTAGCGTCATGCTAGAGGCTCTCAATAGAGATGCCCAACATGCTACTATCGCCAAGTTCATTCAAAATGAACTTGACGCAGAACGCAAGAAAGTAGCCTTGCTTCACCAACAAGGTTCTCAACAAGCAGAGTTGTTGAGAGAACAGGGTGCTCAACAGTTTGAACTGTTGAGACAGCAGCAGGCTGCTGCTGGTGGGTCGATGCACTCGCGTCGACCCGAAACCTTGAAGATTGACATCTCCAAGTATAGGGGGTCGAAGAAGACTCCCTCTTGAGATGGTTCGTCGAATTGGATGACGCCATAAGGGCGCGTCGCATCGACGACGGGGATATGCAAGTTGCATTTGCCCAGTCAAATCTGGTAGGACGTGCCAAGACTTGGGCACTGGGGCTCAAGTTGCACGACCCATATGCGTTTGGGTCGTTGGAAGTCTTCAAGTCGCGGCTCAGACAAACGTTTGAACCGCCTAGAGCTGAGTTCAGAGCTCGAACCGAACTCTTGAAGCTCAAGCAGGGTAAGCGTGATGTGCACGCTTACGCTCAACATATACGACATCTCACGAGTTGTATAAGTTCCAATCCGGTGGATGAACACACGTTGGTTTCGGTGTTCATGCAGGGTCTTGCGGATGGTCCCGTCAAGACTCACCTGTTCCGGATTGAACTAGATTCACTAGAACAAGCCATTTCCATTGCGGAGCAGGAAGACTTCAGTCTGAGACAGGCTCGCGCCAGCTCAACATCATATCGTCAACCGAGACGATATGACAACGGAGGTCCAGAGTCGATGGAACTTTGTGATGTAGAGAGCGAGAAGGCTCGCTCTACAGGCTACAAGAAGCTGCAGAGATGCAACAGATGTCAAAAGACAGGACACTACGCTTACGAGTGTAGTGCCTCTCGTCCAGTGTCTCGCGACACTGGGCGTAGTGACCGTCCACCCATGAGAAAGGGGCAGGGACGCGGGTCCGCAGTTGGTGCAAAGACGCAACAACGGGATGGACCGTCAAAAAACGGACAGGATCAGTAGGTGCGGAGCACCCTACTGATCCAGCAACGTCAAGAGAATTTGTAGGCCTCTTGATGAAGGTTGCTCCCAACACACAAACGTTGTGCGTTGCTGCTCTAGGTAATGAGGTATCACTCATTACCTTGAAACTCGAAGTGACGAATAAGTTGTCCCTTCGAGCTCTAGTCGATTGTGGGGCGTCCAACAATTTTGTGCGACGCCAATCGCTAGAAGATGGTCACTTTAAATTCAGTGAATGTGACACACCTCCTACGAGGATGACGGTACGTCTTGCGACAGGCGCATCCGTAACCGTCATGAAGCGTATAGTGAAGATCCACTATACGCTAGAAGATACCCAACATGACGATGACTTTATCGTATTGGATTTGGATGACAAATTTGATGTCTTCCTTGGAATACCGTGGCTCAGAAGGTACGAACCACGGGTAAACTGGCAACATCGAACAGTAACGATGCCTGCCGCTTTTTCATCAGATGGCCATCTGATGAGCGTTTTGGAGCGTCCACAAGCGTGTGGATGTACTACGAGTGAGTGCGATGGCCTCACTTGTGGTACGGTCGTTAGTACGACTGCACAAAACCTTAGTGTAACAAACGGTTACACTTCGGAGCAAAGTTCCGGCGGCTGTGAGGAAACACAGGCTGCGCCGAAGGTCCACCACTCGAATAAGTCGGGTGGACTGGGACAAAGATGTATCCCTAGCGGGGAACATCTAGAAGAGAAACAATCGATCGCTCAGGTTAAGCGAAACGATAATCCTAGATCGACTGGAGAGTCTTTCGTAGAGGATCTCGCTGTGGTTGCGCAACCCCAGCTAGAGGAAGTAAAGGGAATAAGTCCCAAGATTACAAATACGGCGGAAATAAGTTCCCCGAAACCCGCGGGAATAAGTCCCCGGGAAGACGAAGGAATAAGTCCTTCGAAGCCTGAGGGAATAAGTCCCCAGGAAATGAAAGAGACATTGAATGTCATAGTCAATGACGGATCAAGTGTAGGCGCTTATACACTTGATCTGATTGCGCCTCCGAAGTTGACTTCGGAGATCACTCAGTTGCCAACGCTCGAACATAAAAGGTTCTTGCGTGATCTGCGTAGTGGCAAAATCAAGCAGATCTGCATACTCGTCACTGACGACGAGTGTGTAACCGACATAAGGTCAGCAACAGTGTTCACTGAGAACGAGAGAGTTCTCAGTAGTTCATCTATGGACGAAAGTGTCCTAGATGAAAAGACACGAATTGAGCGATATGACTCCCAATCGTGGGAATCGCTCAAGAAAAATCCTCTCTATGAAGATTTGGTTGAATTCAAGGATGTATTCCCTGAAACTGTTCCGTGCGAATTACCGAAGGATAAAGGTATTCGACACGAGGTCGAGCTTAAACCAGGCTCGAAGTACTGTGTCATGAAGCAGTGGCCACTGCCTCGTGAACAAGTACTTGCGATCGACAAGTTCTTTGCCGATCGTTTAGCTGCGGGCCATGTGGGGAATCAACTTCCCCACATAGCTCTCCGACCTTCTGTGTGCGAAAAGCAACAGGAGGGTGGCGGATAGTGCACGCGTTCAACAAATTGAACGCTGCAACGGTACCGGCTCAGACGCCGATACCAAGGAAGGACGTAATCATTGATGGTATGTCAAAGAGTACCATCTTTTCGTCCATGGATTTGATGGATGGCTTCTATCAAATCCTTATGCGGGAACGGGATATACCCTATACCGCAGTTAGCACGCCTAGCGGCATGCTCTGGGAATGGCTAGTAATGCCACAAGGGCTCAGTAATGCCCCTGCCACATTCAACAGATGTGTATCGCATCTGTTGAGACCAGTACGAGAATTCGCGCCGAGTTATTTCGATGACATATTCATCCATAGTCGAGCTATGGATGGAAAGTCGGACGTTGAGGTTCACAGGTACCACGTCCGACAGGTTCTTACAATCATGCGAAAGCATCAATTGTATGCTAACCTCAAGAAGTGTGTATTTGCAGCAAGCGAAATACCACTTCTTGGGTGCATCGTTGGTAAGAACGGTGTACGTCCTGATCCCGAAAAGATCAAGGCGATCACCGACTGGCCTGTGCCGGTTGATGTCAAAGGTCTTCGAAAATTCCTTGGGCTAGCGGCGTATTTGCACAAGTATTCACGCAATTACGCCGAGATGACTGTGCACCTCTCTCGTTTGTTGAAAAAGAACGAGAGGTGGTTATGGAACGCTGAATGTCAGCGCTCCTTTGAGGGTATCAAGCAGAGCTTGATACAATCCCCAGTCCTAGCAATAGCCGATCAGGACAGGCCATTTCATGTGGTCTGTGATGCCAGCGATTTCGCAATCGGCTGTGCATTAATGCAGTACGACCTAGAAGGCGTAGAACGCGTCGTCTGCTATCAGTCGCGTCAGCTGCAACCAGCTGAGCGGAACTATCCAGTGCATGACAAGGAACTCCTTGCCATGAAGTATGCACCTCGCGAAGTTCAGAGTCTATCTATTAGGAGATAGACCCTTCATTGTTTACACTGACCATGCGTCGTTACGCACGGCAGTGAACAGCCCGCACCTTTCACAACGAATGGCGCGGTGGTTGTCATTCTCTGCGGAATACAACTTTACGGTCGAGTACAAACCAGGACGACTTAATGTCGTCGCTGATGCACTCTCACGTCGTCCCGACTTTGAAACAGTCGCGAAACCCAACAGTGAGACAGTCACTGTTGCGGTTATGACGTCCTCAGTTCCCATCTACAACGTTGTATGATGATGTGAGGCGGGCATACGCCCAAGATGGTGAGATAGTGAAGTTGTTGTCACATCTCTCCCAACCATCTCGAGAATCGTTGAAACGATTGTCGTCTGCGTATCGATCTGCATCAGATCGATACACTACTCGTAACGGTTTACTGTACTATACAGCCGTTTCTGGTGACACACCACGTGTTGTCATTCCAGATGATACTGATCTGCGTTTGCGGATCATGTTCGAGTATCACGATGCTCCTATAGGAGGACATCGTGGCCGAGAGAAAACATATCTCACGGTGAGTCGAGACTTTTACTGGCCCCGCCAGTATCAGTTTGTGCGAAAGTATGTTCGCGCATGCGAAGTCTGTCAACGAGTGAAGTCAAGTCCTTCACTGCGTGCACCATTACAGCCTCTACCGGTTCCGGCTGAGTGCTGGGAATCCATCTCAATGGATTTCGTCTTCGGGTTACCCAAAGACGCACGCGGGAATACGGGTATTCTCGTATTTGTTGACAGATTCAGCAAAATGGTACACCTTGTGGCTGTACCAGAGACAATCACGGCAAGTGGCTGTGCTTGTGTCTTTATTGACACCATCTTCCGACTTCATGGGTTGCCCCGTGAACTCGTATCAGACAGAGATCCACGATTCACTGCTGATTTCTGGCGTTCCGTGTTCAAATCACTCGGAACGCGCTTGAAGATGTCAACATCTGATCATCCAGAGTCAGATGGTCAGACGGAACGTGCCAATCGTGTCCTTGAAGAGATACTTCGAGGATACGTACACTCCTTTAAGAGTTGGAGTGAGTTTTTGCCAATGGTAGAGTTTGCCATTAACAACTCGGTGCATGCGTCCACGACACATACACCGTTTTACGTGAATGGCTTGCGCCATCCGCGTGTACCCACCTTACTAGAGTGTAACTCTGATTTAAGGGGGGGAGGGACTCGCGCGAGCAAAAACCGATTTGGTTCACGCTCATCACGCTCTGACGAAGAAGTCATTGCGTTTGATGCCGATATCGATAACATCGATATCGAAGAATATGATGCCAGTGAGAGTGCGGAAGCCCTCACTGAAGAAAAGGTTGATGTTGCTGCAGTGCGCTCACAGTGCACTGAAGCTAACGAGTCATCAGATGAGTTCGTACTGGCTCGTGAAACGGTAGTCCGTTTTGTGCAAGACTCCATCGCCGAAGCGGTGGATAAGCAAAAGCAAAACGCTGATAAGAATGGAAGGGCAAACACTCTTTTATTTAATAAATGTGACTTAGTCCTACTGTCTACGGTTAATCTACCAAAGCATGTAGTGACTAACTTGGGTAGCAGTAAACTACTACCCAAGTACATTGGCCCATTTCGTGTATTGCACCGCCTAGGCAATGCATACACGATCGAGTTACCACGTAAGATGCGAACGCATCCCACGTTTTACGTTGGCCGGCTTAAGCCGTACCATCAGTACGCTGCTTCTTCCGATGAAGAACGCCCTTGCGCTCTAGCATCTCGCAGAGAGCCTTGTGCTCCCGATGGTGGGCATCAACAAGGGTCTGAAGAGCAGCTATCTCATCCCGAGACCGATCAACAATCCCACGAGCTACCCTTAGCTCGTCACGCAGAGATGTCAGAGATCTCTCGTTCTCAAGCTGAGCAAAGGCAAACTCAGCTCGATGCTTCGAGGCAGTGTCCGCCATTTGGAGACGCCTATTCCGCTCATGTTCGAGATCGTCGCGTAACCCTTGCGTTACGCGATCAAAGAAGATCTCGGGAACACACCGATCCACATGATCGTGTGGAGAACATCTTTCCTCCTCCTCCACCTCCATTAGAGGACTCTCGCGGTGGCCAGCGCTATCTAGTAGAGCAGCTGTTGAACCACCGCGACGTGAACGGGCGTCGGACGAGTTATCTCGTCCGGTGTCGCGGCTATCCCCCGTCCTGGGATTCTTGGGAGCCCCGCTCCCAACTGATGATCGACGTACTGGGTCTGGTTGAGCAGTACGACGCGGCACATCCTGTGCCGCAGAAGGACCGCCGGAGAAAGTCTCCCCGGCACGGTCGTAAAGGGATTTCAAGTTGTCAATCCCTTCGTACATCTCAGTAGAGATACGTACGCGCCACCACGGGCTGGTAGGGAGGTAAGCCTCCTTAGGTGCTCGTGCAGAGTTGTTCACACAACATGGGCACGAGTCTCCCCAAGAGAGGCAGGGTAATCCTTTCTCCCTTGACAGACGATGCAGCTTGTAGCGTGCACCTGTCGGGGTTCGCTTTTCAAACTTATCACGAGCTTTGATAAGTTTGTCGTTCCAAGCGTCACGACCTACATCCTCGAGATTATGGATGTAGGCGTTCCGCGCCTGAAGTAGTGAGGGACCATCACGTTTGTGATTCCCACTGTACCATCGATGTCTATAGAAAGCATCGATGAAGAACTCGTTTTCAGCGCGATAGTTTTTCGCGCTGGGGTCAAGGTGATGGATCCTTGACGAATCGAACAATCGTGTTCGACAACGATCACTCGTCGTCGCCGACAAGTGATCCATGACGAATTTTGGAGGCATCCATGCCTTCTTTTCTGGAGCGAGACGCAACACATTGCGGTCCCGCTCTTCCCGCGACGTGCCGACAGAAGTACTGGCACCTCGCTGTGAAGTGGTGTCCACTATTATTAGCGCCCGAGTCTCGCGACCTCGAGCGCCTTCGCTTCGGCGATGGTTCATCTGATTCGTCAGATGAACCAAAGATGCTGCGATGCAAAGCATCGTCCATGCCACGCTTGGCAGGCGGCTTAGATTCAATCGCCGTCGATACGGATCCGTCATCCGTATCAGGAGAGTACGAGACACCGAGCTTGTACTCTGTGAAGACACGAGTGTCTTCATGACCAGCGCCTGCATCACCAAGTGACACAGGCTGGGTCGCTTCAGCAACCGATGAGACATCAGTTGCTGTTGTTTCTGCTTCGGTGTACGCACAGAGACGTGCAGACGCGCTCTCGGCGGCCTTGCTCGCGCATCGCATGGGCTTGTTAACCATGCGATGAGATGTTGGAAAGTGGACGCGGACCAACAAGTGCAAACCCTGTCCCAAATGATTTGGGACGAGTATCCATTTAGTCAATCAGTCACTAAAGTGACTGATGGTTAAGGGGGGGGTGATGTAACGGGGTGAATCGTTACATAACAATTTATAAGAAATTGTTAATAGAATATAACTATAAGAGTTATATTCTCAGAATATTGTCATAAGGACAAATATTCTGTAGCACTTACGAGTAGTTCCTAATTGGTTGATATAGGCCATTATATCAACCAACGAAGACGCGCCACGACAGACGCACGCAATGAGTGGTGAGCAGATATTTGATTTACACATTTGTATTTAGACATAGTTAGGTGAAGATAAATAGTGATTTATTGCAGACATTAACTATACTAAATACAGTTCTACTTTTTACTCTAACCAAGTACTCGCTTCTTCTTACCGTCTTCCTCTGCACGTACCAGTGTACGTGAAGTTACGAGGCACCGCCTTATTCTGTCATCAGAATAAGTAGCTTGTACTGTCACCAGTACAAGCTTCAGGGTGCCCCGTTACAGCGGCGGTATCGCGAGCAACCTGTCAGTCAGCACACGACACAGTGGCTCGACCAGTGGATCCGAAACTCGCAGCACCGCACCGATTCCGTCGTTTTGGCGCCGCTTATGGACAGTTCCGATGATTGGGGCCGGTTGAGGGAATAAGATTATGCGGGGGATGATTTGCTAAAATTTTGCGATCCCCAGTGGAAAGCGAAGCTGAGCCAACACTTAGTGTGTGCGCTAGTGTACGATCGAGAGATAGCAGCGCTCGTGGAAGGGGTTCCAGCGGATACGCGGGTGTCCGAGAAGCTCCGATCACATATCCACCTACTGAGCACGAATGCTTTGTACAGGAAGGCGTACTACTCGTCCGCCAGCGTGGCTGACTGGGCGGCGATTGAGCGGTTTTTCTACTCAGGGCTCACCCGTCCTGCGGAGACATATCTCCTCCAGTACTAAGGGCACTCCACGGGTACTCCTCACGTCACTGTCTACGGATGCGACGCTCTCGAGCGCGGACGCATACGGTCGCAGCGCATGCTTCATACCATCCTGGGATCCACTTCTCGCCACACAAGTCAGAGGACGGCGAATCAGAGGCTTCTGACCCACAATGTCCTCGGCTTCACACAGGCCAAACGGATCCAATGGATGACGGCCTGGCGTCGGACTCCAGTGAGCTCTAGGCCTCTAGCTTGGTGCATACAGGAAACTCATGTCACGAGCGCCGAGGAAGCAGCGGACCTGCGGCAGGAATGGCGCCGGTTGCGGGGAAAGCATCGCGACTCCGGTCAGGCGCCCATGTCCTTTTGGACGGTAGGGTCCTCTAAGACCAGTGGTGTGGCCATTTTACTTACTCCGACAGCCGCTACGGGGGCCGTTGCGTGGAATGAAGACAAATGGCATTCTCGCGCTATTGGGATTACAGTGCAGGACTTATGTATCTTAAATGTTTACGCCCCCAATCTCAGGGGAGAGCGCGAGGCTTTTTCACGAGTCTTCACGGGTGGAACTTGCCGCTGGGGAGAACAGCCTTGCTAGGGGATTTTAATTGTGTGCAGAGTCCTCAACTGGATCGACTAGGTTCTCGAATTGCTAGTAGGACGGAAAGTCCTGCGCTGGAAAAGTTACTCGAGACGTCTAGGCTGAGTGATGCTCGTCTTATGAGGTATCATGCAGACGAAGAGGAAGAGGATTTGACTGATCACTACACATACTGGACTGCCGAAACAGCCAGCCGGATCGACCGAATCTACGCATCCGAATACTGGGCATCGACAGTTCTATGACGGTCCGCCACTCCTCCCTCTGTCTACTCTGATCACCAACAGGTCGTTCTTCATTTACGGCTCCGTCAATCCAAACCCACAACCTCCGCCAGAGCGCGTGTTGTGTATCCTATCGAGTCAAATCAACAGGACCGGGTCTTAAGAGATCTATTACGAGAAATGGAAGCCTCGCGGGTGGGTCACGCGCCTACAGTACAGTCTTGGGACACTACCGTGAACCGGTGCGTCCGCTGTTTAACCGTGGTAAATAAACGGGAAAAGCAGCGGCTACGGCGCTTTATCTCGAAAATACGACAGCGAGGGAGGCGGCTGTTTTTCACCAGGCGTCATTGGATAGCGGCCAATGTGGAGGAAATGCGGGAGGATCATTTAGTGCGTCTCGGCGAGCAGTTAGAGAGATCTACCGAGCGTCTTCGGTGGTCTTACAAGCGGGTAGCCAATTGGGAACGGGACCAACGTGTCTCCTCGTTGACAGCACGCTATGGGCACGCATTCACACGACATATGTCCCTGGCAGATAGATTTGCGTCGGAGTGGGAGTCCGTGTTAAGCGCCAGCCATCGCAAGGAGCCACTGGACTCGTTGCCCGCGGCGATCCGTGATTTCGCGACGATCCCACATGTGCAAGTGCTCACTCCACTCGATAATGAACGCCTGCTGCTACCGATAACGTAGGACGAGGTGCTTTCAGCCGTCCGAGGGCTGAGTCGGTATAAAGCGGCGGGTCCCGATGGTCTCAATAATGATTTTTACAAAGATACAGCAGCGCTGATGGTGCCGGCGCTTGTAGCTATCGGCAACCAAATTCTAGCGGGGGCCGACCTACCCCCTTCATTTCTGTCGGCTTCAATTATTCCGCTTATGAAGAAAGGTGACTCCGATGACGCCATGGATTATTGACCGATCTCTTTATTACAAACCGGGTACAAGGTTTTTGCCAAGGTGCTAGCTACGAGGGTGTAGGTGTGTTTACCGCGTATCATTAGTGACTCCCAACAAGGTTTTGTTCACGGGCGCCGTATGACCAAGACGGTGATGATGATGATGGCCCAACTAACGACGGCGACGGAGCAGATCGACTTGACGGCGGAAGACAGTCGCTGTATCTTATTACTCGACTTTCGGAAGGCCTACGATACTGTGGACCGAGATTTCTTATACGAGTCCATGCGTCTATTTGGTTTTACAGAAAGCTTTATTGACCTCATCTGTCGGATCCACACGGGCACGACTGCAACTTTTGTCGTTAATGGAGGTCAATCCTCCGCGCTCCCGGTGCGTTCCGGAATCCGGCAAGGCTGCCCGCTTGCGCCTCTCCTCTTTTTACTCGTAGTAGAGGTATTAGGGCTCGCCCTCAAGCAAGACCCGTCACTCAAAGGATTGCCAGTGCCTGGGACTGTCGACCGGACTCATCTCTTTTCGGCGTTCGTCGATGACTCAACGCTCTTTTTGGACACGGCAAAACAAATCCTCCATGCTCTCGGAATTATTCAAGCGTTTGGGAATCTGTCAGGCCTTCATGTGCAACCGGCAAAGAGCAAGCTTCTTTTTTTTTGAACCGGGCCATCTCCAGAGCGAGCTTTGCCGGTATAGACATCGTGCCCTCCGGCGCCACTACCAGGTACCTTGGGTACGAGATCGGGACCGGGCCTCTGGACAACAAAAATTGGGCTCATCGGATCCGGACAATTCAGCGCCGCCTCCTCACTGTGACGCGGGTGGCGACAAGCGTTGAGAACAGGGTACTCATCCTGAACTCCATTGTTCTCCCCTCCTTGCTATTTACGGCGTCCGTCTTCTACGTCCCTCGATGGGCGGAAAAAGAGGTGCATAATTCATACAAGAACTTTCTATGGGAGCACGCGACTGTGACCGACAATAGCCGCCACAAGGTCAACCCAGGCCTGCTAGTGACGCCCAAACAGGCTGGGGGGATTAACCTTATCGATGTCTCGGTAGCTGTCAAGACTCAACGGACGAAGCATGCGATTAGTTGGCTAACGCAGCGCCAGGACAAGTATTTTGACGCATGGCGAGTATGGGCTTTTTGGGGAGAGCCTCCGGGTACTGCGAAGAAAATTTCACCAGCTACGGCTACTAGGAGGGCGGAGTCACGATGTAGCCGCTCTAAGTACCAGGCACTGACGCAGGAGCTTGGAGAATGGCTCGCACCTACACCAGCACAACTTGACAGCCTGAAGTCGTGGATCGCCAGTCAATCGCCGGCTCTGCTTGAACGGGCCGCCAGCTGGTGGGAAGGGGAGGATTACGTATTGTCGTATTATCAAGCCTTTCCTCGGCGGCCGGTGGGGGCCGATGACTTTCCACTAGAAATTCAGCGGTTTTGGCACACCTTTAATTGGAGTGCAAACCCCTGGATCCGGGATATGAGCGGTAATCTGCTGACACGCAGAAAGTACGATCGGATAGCAGTATGCTCTCTGGAAGTGCTTAACATAGTGCGCACAGGTCCGGCAGAATTTGTGATGACTGTGCCTCTGCCGCTACACCACCCAGGCCCTCACTCAGGAGCCAAATTAAGGCGGTGGGCGACAGCCTTGCTCTTATCCTCACCCTAATTACAAATTGGAGAGGCTCTAAACACGCCACCAGCACTCCGACCCCGACACGAGCCTCCGTTCTCGGTCAGCTTTGACTGGAGGCTGAACAGCGCTGGCAGCATTGAAGGTCGGCCATCGTCCAGTTCGAGGAGCCCACCCACGTCTTTCACTCTACACCAAGCCAGTGACGGGCTGCGATGGTTTTTTCAGGGATCGGTGCCGGAGTTAATTGACGAGTCCGACATCGCTCGACAGGCGCTTACCCGCGAGCTCTTGACAGGAGGGCTCGTTGTTGAAGCGAACCCGCAGCTTCACCATTTTCCTTGGTCCGTTCTGGACAAAACGTCCAACATTCACATCGTTCAGGAACTCGGTCGCCAGGCTTTCCAGTTTCACAAGAAAGTATTTGCCCGCCCCCTGAAGGATTTTATCTCACGTCTCGGCGACAGGGCTCTCATCGACAAGTAGCAGAGTGCCGCTCTCAGGCAATCTCCGCGGCAAGTGTGGGATCATTGTCACGGACTCTCTCCATATCAAGTCTGGACAGGGTATCGGGTCGCGACGCGCCAGCTCAACCTGTACCATGCGGCGCGTCCTGTGGACAATAGTTGCCGGAAGGCACCAGCCTGTCACGGATGTCAAGAGACGATCATGCATGTCTTTTGGGAGTGCAACAGCGCAACTGCCCTATGGATTAAACTGATTGAGCACTGGACCGGGGAACGCGCGTCCCGCGAGCGGACCCAACAATTCTTGGTCGCCTGCGCCAGTCGCCAGGCCCACACGATACAGTCACACCGGATGAAAATCTTAAACGACCGATTTCAAGACGACGTAGCTGCGGCCATCCGCGTATGGAAAGAAATGTGGCACATCCTGGCGACGATGTGTCAGACAAGGATATGGACAGACCGGAATGCGGCGGTCTTCCGAGCAGAGTCTATCGATATTACTAGGGGTACCGAAAATTTCTGGGCCTCGTGCATCCGCCAGCTTCGAGCTATAGCGCAGAGGCGGCATCGAAAAGTAGCAACAGCAATTACCGGGGCAGTGCTTTATGCATGCATCGAGTTATTGGAAACCGAACCAAGAGGGTTGCCAGTGGTCACTGGCACCAGCGACGAAGAGCCCCCGGGTACCCCGGCGCTTACGTCCTGGCTTAGTTCATACCAGAGATCTTGCACGTAGTTTAAGCTAAGTAAATAGACACTCTGAAACTCTCTCTCTCTCATAAGAGTCGGCGTGGTCGTTTGTTAGGATGACGCATCCCCAGGCCCCCGTGTGAATGACCTCACAGACGGTGTCGACTGACAGCTCGCAGTAGTCGCCGACACTGTCGCGAGTGACATTCGAGTCATAGTCGGCGATCGCCACATCACCTTTGACAGGGCAAGAGGATCCGGCAGGCGACGAGCCTTCGCCGCTGCAGACGGGCCCGTCGATGCAGTAGGTGGCGTCACGCTCGACGCTGATTGGCCAGCAGCCGAGGTCCTCGTCGTACTTGGGGGTACCAGCTGATGCTGGCAAGGCCGCAGAAAGACTAAAGATCGAGAAAACCAAGACTTTCATGGTTGCTGCTGGACGGTTGAATGCTGCTGAGCGAGGACTCGAGCTGTCGAGTGGTGGTGGGTGGAGGTGGTGGTGACTCGCCTTTGCTGCAAATTGCAGAATGAATTGAACGGAGCGTCTTCTTCTTCTTCTCCTTGTAGCTAGCAGCCCGTGGTGCTGTCCAGATGCAGGAGACAACTCTAGAACGAAGGAGGATGGTGCGGATCTGGACCAAAGACCGACCAGTGCAGCGAGGTGTTGCCCCCGATGGTTCTACCGCACGCGTGTGAGTCAAAATTGCCTCTTTTGTTCTGGCCAAGTTGCCGTGAAACATTGTTTGGTGGTTGTGGTGCACCATATTGTCGTGAGAAGGTCGAGACGAGTGTTTCAGTATGTTGCAGCAGCAGCTTTCAGGATACGAATGAATGACTCGGGTTTCGTGACGAAAATCGAATCGAACGATAAATTCCACCATATGGCGACGAACGGTCTTGTAGGTGGCATGCAAAGATTGCTACTGCGACCGTTCTCGACGTCGCCAGACGCAGAGCAACTGGTAAACTGTGAATCACCAAAGTTTCGTTGCTCTCTGCCCTCTCTCTTTCTCTGGCGCGCGCCTTCGTGCTTGCTTGTTGTTTCATTGGCATCGACGTGTTGGCGGCACTACAAACGAGACGCCGGAACTGAATATGTACTCATTGACGCGGAACCTCATGGAGGCAACCGTTGACGCAGAACCTCACCAAGGCACGCCACTATTTGGATGGTAAAGTCTCCAATGGGTCAAACAATTCATCGTAGTAGATGGAAATGTGATACACAACACCCAAAAAGCCTGAATCAACTCTGATTTTCGCCTTCTGTCACCTGCATATGACAGCCGCTATCCATACGAGGCATGCATTTGTTGCCGGGCACCAGTCGCTAAGATTCATAGCGATCAGCGACTTCGATGCCCGGATGTTTCTTTCAAACCTTTTTTTTAGGCGTGAAGCAGAATCATCCCTTGATTGGGTAGCTCGCACGGCGTGGCAACCAAAGGTAGTCGTGCTACTATGTAACAAGCCAGTGCATTTACTTTTGCTGTTTTCCCTTGAAGTACTTCTGCTTTAGCTGTAGGTGCTTCAGCCAGTCGGATTGCAGCGTTGAAAACCCAATTTAGCAAGCTGCCAAGTGCTTGTCCTCTTTTAAACTTTCGTGATTACTTGGAGAAGATCATAGCAGAGGGTTATTTCATTCAACCGGTCATGTTCCTCGTAGTCTTATGTGCGATCTGATGACATAGCATGTCGAGGGTTATGCAAATCGCATCGACGCTGACACCATTTTGCAAGCTCAGCTCTTCGTCCGGTTAGGTGTCCTCCATTCAGTCTTAACCTTTGGTAGGGTATCGAACGGGGCGTCTACCGATCGCTGGTAAGTGTTAGGTTCTGAGCAATCTGAGTAATTTCTAACCCTCTTTCGAGTTACTTCAGAACAGAAACAGAGAAATGTAGATGCCCATCGAGTTACACCAGCCACAGAGTGCCAAGTGCTTTTAGTATCACAAAGTAGAGTGACTGGGCAAGTTGCATCCGACCATCAGGTCATGCGATAGTAGCAGACGTTAGTCCATCCCATGCGACCGAGCAGAAAGCATTAAACTATGATGCGCTCGCTTAATCGACCGTGCGCATTACCTTAGCACGTGTTCGATAACCAACGTCCATTCGGATGGAAAGTGCTACCCGAGGGCTCATGAAGAACGAATGAATGACAACTGTAACGGGGTGAATCGTTACATAACAATTTATAAGAAATTGTTAATAGAATATAACTATAAGAGTTATATTCTCAGAATATTGTCATAAGGACAATATTCTGTAGCACTTCCAAGTAGTTCCTAATTGGTTGATATAGGCCATTATATCAACCAACGAAGACGCGCCACGACAGACGCACGCAATGAGTGGTGAGCAGATATTTGATTTACACATTTGGTATTTAGACATAGTTAGGTGAAGATAAATAGTGATTTATTGCAGACATTAACTATACTAAATACAGTTCTACTTCTACTTTCTAACAAAGTACTCGCTTCTTCTTACCGTCTTCCTCTGCACGTACCAGTGTACGTGAAGTTACGAGGCACCGCCTTATTCTGTCATCAGAATAAGTAGCTTGTACTGTCACCAGTACAAGCTTCAGGGTGCCCCGTTACACCTGGTAGCACTTCGTAGTCCGTTCAAGGACCGCGTTCACATCCAATATGAATATGTTGGATGATGAAGATGACCAAAGCTTTCACGCTACGCGTGACGGCTACTCCCATTTGAGCGATGTCGAATGGGGGATGCGGTTGAACGGATGGGTTCGACCATGGGCATCCATGCTGTTAGCGTCATGCTAGAGGCTCTCAATAGAGATGCCCAACATGCTACTATCGCCAAGTTCATTCAAAATGAACTTGACGCAGAACGCAAGAAAGTAGCCTTGCTTCACCAACAAGGTTCTCAACAAGCAGAGTTGTTGAGAGAACAGGGTGCTCAACAGTTTGAACTGTTGAGACAGCAGCAGGCTGCTGCTGGTGGGTCGATGCACTCGCGTCGACCCGAAACCTTGAAGATTGACATCTCCAAGTATAGGGGGTCGAAGAAGACTCCCTCTTGAGATGGTTCGTCGAATTGGATGACGCCATAAGGGCGCGTCGCATCGACGACGGGGATATGCAAGTTGCATTTGCCCAGTCAAATCTGGTAGGACGTGCCAAGACTTGGGCACTGGGGCTCAAGTTGCACGACCCATATGCGTTTGGGTCGTTGGAAGTCTTCAAGTCGCGGCTCAGACAAACGTTTGAACCGCCTAGAGCTGAGTTCAGAGCTCGAACCGAACTCTTGAAGCTCAAGCAGGGTAAGCGTGATGTGCACGCTTACGCTCAACATATACGACATCTCACGAGTTGTATAAGTTCCAATCCGGTGGATGAACACACGTTGGTTTCGGTGTTCATGCAGGGTCTTGCGGATGGTCCCGTCAAGACTCACCTGTTCCGGATTGAACTAGATTCACTAGAACAAGCCATTTCCATTGCGGAGCAGGAAGACTTCAGTCTGAGACAGGCTCGCGCCAGCTCGACATCATATCGTCAACCGAGACGATATGACAACGGAGGTCCAGAGCCGATGGAACTCTGTTATGTAGAGAGCGAGAAGGCTCGCTCTACAGGCTACAAGAAGTTGCAGAGATGCAACAGATGTCAAAAGACAGGACACTACGCTTACGAGTGTAGTGCCTCTCGTCCAGTGTCTCGCGACACTGGGCGTAGTGACCGTCCACCCATGAGAAAGGGGCAGGGACGCGGGTCCGCAGTTGGTGCAAAGACGCAACAACGGGATGGACCGTCAAAAAACGGACAGGATCAGTAGGTGCGGAGCACCCTACTGATCCAGCAACGTCAAGAGAATTTGTAGGCCTCTTGATGAAGGTTGCTCCCAACACACAGACGTTGTGCGTTGCTGCTCTAGGTAATGAGATCTCACTCATTACCTTGAAACTCGAAGTGACGAATAAGTTGTCCCTTCGAGCCCTAGTCGATTGTGGGGCGTCCAACAATTTTGTGCGACGCCAATCGCTAGAAGATGGTCACTTTAAATTCAGTGAATGTGACACACCTCCTACGAGGATGACGGTACGTCTTGCGACAGGCGCATCCGTAACCGTCATGAAGCGTATAGTGAAGATTCACTATACGCTAGAAGATACCCAATACGACGATGACTTTATCGTATTGGATTTGGATGACAAATTTGATGTCTTCCTTGGAATACCGTAGCTCAGAAGGTACGAACCACGGGTAAACTGGCAACATCGGACAGTAACGATGCCTGCCGCTTGTTCATCAGATGGCCATCTGATGAACGTTTTGGAGCGTCCACAAGCGTGTGGATGTACTACGAGTGAGTGCGATGGCCTCACTTGTGGTACGGTCGTTAGTACGACTGCACAAAACCTTAGTGTACCAAACGGTTACACTTCGGAGCAAAGTTCCGGCGGCTGTGAGGAAACACAGGCTGCGCCGAAGGTCCACCACTCGAATAAGTCGGGTGGACTGGGACAAAGATGTATCCCTAGAGGGGAACATCTAGAAGAGAAACAATCGATCGCTCAGGTTAAGCGAAACGATAATCCTAGATCGACTGGAGAGTCTTTCGTAGAGGATCTCGCTGTGGTTGCGCAACCCCAGCTAGAGGAAGTAAAGGGAATAAGTCCCAAGATTACAAATACGGCGGAAATAAGTTCCCCGAAACCCGCGGGAATAAGTCCCCGGGAAGCCGAAGGAATAAGTCCTTCGAAGCCTGAGGGAATAAGTCCCCAGGAAATGACAGAGACATTGAATGTCATAGTCAATGACGGATCATGTGTAGGCGCTTATACACTTGATCTGATTGCGCCTCCGAAGTTAACTTCGGAGATCACTCAGTTGCCAACGCTCGAACATAAAATATTCTTGCGTGATCTGCGTAGTGGCAAAGTCAAGCAGATCTGCATACTCGTCGCTGAAGACGAGTATGTAACCGACATAAGGTCAGCAACAGTGTTTACTGAGAACGAGAGAGTTCTCAGTAGTTCATCTATGGACGAGAGTGTCCTAGATGAAAAGACACGAATTGAGCGATATGAGTCCCAATCATGGGAATCGCTCAAGGAAAATCCTCTCTATGAAGATTTGGTGGAATATAAGGATGTATTCCCTGAAACTGTTCCGTGCGAATTACCGAAGGATAAAGGTATTCGACACGAAGTCGAGCTTAAACCAGGCTCGAAGTACTGTGTCATGAAGCAGTGGTCACTGCCTCGTGAACAAGTACTTGCGATCGACAAGTTCTTTGCCGATCGTTTAGCTGCGGGCCATGTGAGGGAATCAACTTCCCCACATAGCTCTCCGACCTTCTGTGTGCGAAAAGCAACAGGAGGGTGGCGGATAGTGCATGCATTTAACAAGTTGAATTTTTCAACGGTACCGGCTCAGACGCCGATACCGAGGAAGGACGTAATCATTGATGGTATGTCAAAGAGTACCATCTTTTCGTCCATGGATTTGATGGATGGCTTCTATCAGATTCTTATGCGAGAACGGGATATACCCTATACCGCAGTGAGCACGCCTAGCGGCATGCTCTTGGAATGGCTATTAATGCCACAAGGGCTCAGTAATGCCCCTGCCACGTTCAACAGATGTGTATCACATCTGTTGAGACCAGTACGAGAATTCGCGCCGAGTTATTTCGATGACGTATTCATCCATAGTCGGGCTATGGATGGAAAGTCGGATGTTGAGGTACACAGGTACCACGTCCAACAGGTTCTTACAATCATGCGAAAACATCAATTGTATGCAAACCTCATAAAGAGTATATTTGCAGCAAGCGAAATACCACTTCTTGGGTACATCGTTGGTAAGAACGGTGTACGTCCTGATCCCAAAAAGATCAAGTCGATCACCGACTGGCCTGTGCCGGTTGATGTCAAAGGTCTTCGAAAATCCCTTGGGCTAGCGACGTATTTGCATAAGTATTCACGCAATTACGCCGAGATGACTGTACACCTCTCTCGTTTGTTGAAAAGAACGAGAGGTGGTTATGGAACGCTGAATGTCAGCGCTCCTTTGAGGGTATCAAGCAGAGCTTGATACAATCCCCAGTCCTAGCAATAGCCGATCAGGACAGGCCATTTCATGTGGTCTGTGATGCCAGCGATTTCGCAATCGGCTGTGCATTAATGCAGTACGATCTTGAAGGCGTTGAACGCGTCGTCTGCTATCAGTCGCGTCAGCTGCAACCAGCTGAGCGGAACTATCCAGTGCATGACAAGGAACTCCTTGCCATGAAGTATGCACTCGCGAAGTTCAGAGTCTATCTATTAGGAGATAGACCCTTCGTTGTTTACACTGACCATGCGTCGTTACGCACGGCAGTGAACAGCCCGCACCTTTCACAACGAATGGCGCGGTGGTTCTCATTCTTTGCGGAATACAACTTTACGGTCGAGTACAAACCAGGACGACTTAATGTCGTCGCTGATGCACTCTCACGTCGTCCCGACTTTGAAACAGTCGCGAAACCCAACAGTGAGACAGTCACTGTTGCGGTTATGACGTCCTCAGTCCCGTCTACAACGTTGTATGATGATGTGAGGCAGGCATACGCCCAAGATGGTGAGATAGTGAAGTTGTTGACACATCTCTCCCAACCATCTCGAGAATCGTTGAAACGATTGTCGTCTGCGTATCGATCTGCATCAGATCGATACACTACTCGTAACGGTTTACTGTATTATACAGCCGTTTCTGGTGACACACCACGTGTTGTCATTCCAGATGATACTGATCTGCGTTTGCGGATCATGTTCGAGATCACGATGCTCCTATAGGAGGACATCGTGGCCGAGAGAAAACATATCTCACGGTAAGTCGAGACTTTTACTGGCCCCGCCAGTATCAGATTGTGCGAAAGTATGTTCGCGCATGCGAAGTCTGCCAACGAGTGAAGTCAAGTCCTTCACTGCGTGCACCATTACAGCCTCTACCGGTTCCGGCTGAGTGCTGGGAATCCATCTCAATGGATTTCGTCTTCGGGTTACCCAAAGACGCACGCGGGAATACGGGTATTCTCGTATTTGTTGACAGATTCAGCAAAATGGTACACCTTGTGGCTGTACCAGAGACAATCACGGCAAGTGGCTGTGCTTGTGTCTTTATTGACACCATCTTCCGACTTCATGGGTTGCCCCGTGAACTCGTATCAGACAGAGATCCACGATTCACTGCTGATTTCTGGCGTTCCGTGTTCAAATCACTCGGAACGCGCTTGAAGATGTCAACATCTGATCATCCAGAGTCAGATGGTCAGACGGAACGTGCCAATCGTGTCCTTGAAGAGATACTTCGAGGATACGTACACTCCTTTAAGAGTTGGAGTGAGTTTTTGCCGATGGTAGAGTTTGCCATCAACAACTCGGTGCATGCGTCCACGACACATATACCGTTTTACGTGAATGGCTTGCGCCATCCGCGTGTACCCACCTTACTAGAGTGTAACTCTGGTTTAAGGGGGGTAGGGACTCGCGCGAGCAAAAACCGATTTGGTTCACGCTCATCACGCTCTGACGAAGAAGTCATTGCGTTTGATGCCGATATCGATAACATCGATATCGAAGAAGAAGATGATGCCAGTGAGAGTGCGGAAGCCCTCACTGAAGACAATGATCCCAGTGAGAGTGCGGAAGCCCTCACTGAAGAAAATGTTGTTGTCGCTGCAGTGCGCTCACAGCACACTGAAGCTAACGAGTCATCAGATGAGTTCATACTGGCTCGTGAAACGGTAGTCCGTTTTGTGCAAGACTCCATCGCCGAAGCGGTGGATAAGCAAAAGCAAAACGCTGACAAGAATGGAAGGGCAAACACTCTTTTATTTAATAAATGTGACTTAGTCCTACTGTCTACGGTTAATCTACCAAAGCATGTAGTGACTAACTTGGGTAGCAGTAAACTACTACCCAAGTACATTGGCCAATTTCGTGTATTGCACCGCCTAGGCAATGCATACACGATCGAGTTACCACGTAAGATGCGAACGCATCCCACGTTTTACGTTGGCCGGCTTAAGCCGTAC